ATGTAGGACATATAATACTTGGTGCTGCTCTTCTGGTTGAAAAGGTGTCATCCTGTTGATGACCTTTTGAGGCTGAAAATAGTTCCTCAGAGAAAACTCCCTAAGTATTCTATTGTCCTTATTTTTCAAAATGTTTTTAAATGTATGACTTAGACTATAAAAATAAGTCCCCTGTGATGGAGGTGTAGGTAGACACTCTGTGCCTCTTTGCACAACCAACAGAAAGACAACAACAAATTTAAAAACAAAAAACTCCCACCAGAATTGACAGAAAATTGAACTACATGAAGTCCGACAACCAAGGAGTTAAAGAAGAAACATTCATCCAGACTAGTAGGAGGGGCAGAGATGGGCTGCCTGGTAGAGGGGACTTGCAGCAAGGTGGCACCTGGAGGACCTGGGTGAGGCAGGGGTGTGAAGACTGGGCAGTCCCATATTCACTTGCAGAAACTGGGAGGAACAACTAGGGAACAAGACAGATGGCGCAACCCAGCGCTACAGCACATGGGAATAAAGCCTCCAAGCCTGTGAATAAAAACATCTGTGGGGCTTGAGGCAGCAGTGAGAGAAACTGCCATCCTCACAGGAGAGTTTGTTGGAGAGACCCACAGGGTTCTAAAACATACACAAGGCCACACACTGGGGAATCAGCACCAGAAGGGACCAATTTGATGGTTGATAGCAGGGGGAGTGACTGAAAACTGGCAGAGAGCTGAGCAAGTGGCATTGTTACCCCTCATAACCCTCCCCTACATACAATGTCACAACGCAGGGACCACATTTCCCCACCCTGATGAACACCTAAGGCTCCACCCCTTACTATGTGACAAGTATGACAAAATAAAAAAAAGGCCCAAATGAAAGAACAGATCAAAGCTCCAGAAAAAATACAACTAAACAATGAAGAGATAGCCAAACTACCAGATGCACAGTTCAAAACACTAGTTATCAGAATGCTCCAGGAACTCATTGGGTACTTCAAAAGCACAAAAAAAGACCCAGGCAGTTATGAAGGTCCAATATGTAAAATAAATAAAAATATACAGGGAGACAACAGGTAAGGGGAGAAGAAAACAGGACTCAAACAAATTGTTAGGAGCAGAAGGACGAAAGAAACATTCAACCAGAACAAAATTAAGAAACAAGAATTCAAAAAAATTAGGAGAAGTTTAGGAACCTCCAGGACGTCTTTAAACATTCCAATATGTGAGTCATAGGGGTGCCAGAAGGAGAAGAAGAAGAACAAGAAGTCAAAAACTTATTGGAACAATAATAAAGGAGAACGTCCCAAATCTGGCAAAGGAAATAGACTTCCAAGAAGTCCAGGAAGCTCAAAGAGTCTCAAAGAAGGTGGACCCAAGGAGAAACACACCAAGGCATATCATAATTGTGTTAACCCAGATTAAAATGGAGAGTATTCTAGAAGCAGCAAGAGATAAAGGAACAGTCACCTACAAAGGACTTCCCATCAGACTTTCAGCTGATTTCTCAAAAGAGACCTTACAGGCAAGAAGGGGCTGGAAAGAAGTATTCCAAGTCATGAAATCTGAAGACCTACATCCAATATTGCTCTATCCAGCTAAGCTTTGAAGAATGGAAGGGCAGATAAAACACTACTCAGATAAGGTCAAGTTCAAGGAGATCATCATCACCAAGCCCTTATTATATGAAATGTTAAAGGGACTTATCTAAGACAAAGAAAATAAAAAATATGAACAGTTAAAGGACAGAAAACTCACAATTATTAACAACCACACCTAAAACAAAAGCAAACTAAGTGGGCAGCTAGATCAGGAGCAGAGCGACAGAAATGAAGATGACATGGAGAGTTAGCAAGAGAAGAGTGGGAGGAGAAGGGGGGAAAAAGTACAGAGAATAAGTAGCATAGATGGTAGGTAGAAAATAGACAGGGTGAGGGCAAGAATAGTATGGGAAATGTAGAAGCTAAAGAACTTGTGACACCTGGGCATGAAGTAAAGAGGTAGAATGGGGGGAAGGGGTGTTCAAGGGGGAGGGGAATGAAAGGGGGTAAATAAAACAACTGTAATGGCATAATGAATAAAAAATATATTTTAAAAGTTAAAGAAATAGTGGGATTAAATTACAGTGATTACATTTGATAATCTCATTTTTTGTAAACAGATGTTTAATCTACATATACAGCTAAATGGACATAAATTTCACCAAGATAGGGCTGCACTACAGCCTCAAACAACATCAAGGATGAGACATAACATGCAATGCAGAGACTCACAGATGATGCAGACTTATGAGATATGAACAGAGATCAGAACAACTTCCATCATAGAATCCCCCTCAATACTAAAGGCATTATAATAAACCATTCTATTTAGGATGCTTGTTATGCAGCAATAGCTGATACAATAATCAAAGCAAACAGCACTAAAGGCAAATATAATAATTCTGTTTTTTATGTTTTACATATGTTCTGATATTTGGGAAGCCTTGTGATTATTTCATTATTCAAAATACAGTCACCTGTGAGTACAGTTATCTGTAGTTTCATTACAGATTGTACTGTGAAACAGTTAATTGGTACAGAGGTTGCCTTCTAGGGGTCTCCAAGAAGTTGCAAGCTCATGCACATCTGTGTAGAAAACCTGGTGATCCTGAATCATGCGACCAGAAAGGGATTCAGCCTGTCTTGTGAGTCATTTTTAATTATAAGAAGGGATTCTTGAGAATGAGAGAGACATACAATCCATAATCTGTAAACTTTACATTTATTGTTCCTTTAGTGGTTAAGACAAAATTTAGAAAAGAAGAAATGTTTTGCTTAGACTCATAGAGTAGTCATAATTGTAGGCAGCACTGGAATTTTCAAGTAGAGAAAGAAATAGAATTCATTAAAGAGGTAAAAATATACTAACCAACAACTTACCCTAATGCAGAAAGCCCCTTACACAAGGGCATCAATCTTCCATACTTCCATGAGTATAGCAGTACCTTCTACAGTAATAAAATTGGTGATTAACAATTTTGTCTCATCACACTTCAGGTCATCTCTGACACTCAGGCCATATTAGCTTAATAAATCAAATCTTGCTGTCCATGTAGACTTCACTGTAAGTATATATGTGATGGTCAATATCTGTCAGTGCCTCCAGTGGGCATTGGTACCCTGAGCTGATTAAGACAATAAAAGCAGGAAAGCAGCTACGAAACAGAGTGGCATGTTTGTAGAGTAAGTGCCTGACATGAAACTTTTGATTTCCAAGTCTTCCACTTCAAACATAACCATGTTGAAGAAACATGTGGCCAGCTTTCTGACACAGCTGCTAGCTAAGCACCCTGGCCCACTCCCATGTGAAGAGCCCCTTACAGAAAGCCCTGGAGAACTTAGATAACTGACCTCAGCAGTGACCCACTGTTCACTTTTCACATCCTGACACCTGCTCTTAAGTTTCAAATTCACCAATAAAGAGTGAAGCTTTGAAACTCTATCCATCCTGCCCTCAGATCTGAATAAATGCAGAACCCACAGTAATGTTCTGTCTCTGCCCCTCTCCCCCTCCCTTTCTCCCTCTCACTCCCCTGCTTTCTCCCCTGCTATGACCTCATTAGTGGACCTTAGAAACATCTGTACCCTCCAATCTCTGAGAAATAAACTTGCTTTTACCAGGTTCTCTTAGGGTTTTGGTTGAGCAGTGCATGGGATCATAATAAGAACTGCAAGGCCTGGTCCAGCCACAACATTGCCTCATGTCATTGTCACAAGAATTCAGGGACCAGGTGAGTTCCCTAGGTATTTTAGAAATACCTGTGTTAGGCTGAGATATAAATGCAACAATGTTTAAAATCTACATTATTAGGAAGAATACTAAAGATAGTGATGTAAAAATGGGGGAAACACAAACAACTATAATTGAACAACAATAAAATAATTTAAAAGAAAAGAAAAAAATGACAGACACAAATTTAAAAATGATATTATATTTTCCTATACAATGAAATTAAATAAATGTGGTACATATACACAATGGAATTCTATGCAGCAGAGAGGAAGGAGCTACTACCCTTTGCAACAACATGGAACTGGAAAGCATTATGCTGAGTGAAATAGGCCAGGCATTGAAGGACAAATACCATATGATCCCACCTTTGACAGGAAGCTAAACAATAAAACAAACAAGCAAACAGAATAAAAACAAAGACACTGAAATAGAGAACAAGGGGGCAGTGACCAGAGGGGAGAGAGAAGGGAATTTAAGGGGAAAAATGGGGAGGGATTTTGAGGAACAAGTATGAAAGACATAGGGATGAGGACTGGGGGAAGGGAATGGGAGAGAGGGGGGAGACAGGGCGGGGGGAGGGCTGGGATGGGAGAAATAGACAAAAAATGTACTTGAAAAATAACTAAATAAAAATAAAAAATTAAATAAATGTCCTAAGATGCCAAATGTTGTTTTGCCTGAGTGAGTAATACAACTGTGATTATTCTTTCAGGAAAAAGAAGAGTTTTCTTAGCATGATATTTGTCATTTGAGAGTATATTTTAGAGAAATCCAAGTTTTCCTATGAAGATGTGGAATTTTCCAAATAATTCTGATCCAATGTTTAGAAACACTTTCACAATATATAAAATTTTTCAAAGGGCTGACAGTGATTAGAGGGGAGAGGGGAGGAAATTTCAGGGGAAAAGGGTGAAGGGTTTGCAGAAACAAATATAAAGGACACATGGACAATAACGGGGGTTTGAAACAGGAGGGAGGGCTCAGGGGTTGGGCTGGAGTGGGGGAAAATGGCAAACAAGTGTACTTTAACAACAATTAAAACTAAAAATTATTAAAAACTTGTCAAAGGGAAAACTGTCCATACATTGTAGCAGAAGATTGTAAAGTGAGTTACTTAAACTTATAGAGAACATGAACAAATACAAGAAAATGGACCCACCAAAAATAAACAGAAAGGGCCAGTCTATCCCATGGGATAAAACACTCAGAGTTTCTGGTTTGAGTTTTTGAGCGACCCACACAAGGTCACGTTGTGAGCCTGAGCAAAATTTTCTTCTCTGTACTTGCCATCCCCCCAACTTTTTTCAGAGCCCCCTTTATGTCTCTGTTCCTGAGACTGTAGATGAAGGGGTTCAGCATGGGTGCGACCACAGTGTACATTACTGAGGTGACTGCACTTGATTGTGAACCGTGGGTACTGGCAGAGCTGAGGTACACGCCTAGGACTGTACCATAAAATAAGGAGACAACTGAGAGGTGAGATGCACAGGTGGAAAATGCTTTATACTTCCCCTGAACTGATGGGATTGCACATATGGAGGACACTATCTTAGAGTAAGAGTAAAGGATACCAGCCAAGGGACCACCAGCCAACAGCCCTGTGGCCAAGTACATCACCATGTCATTAAGAAAGGTGTCAGAACAGGCAAGTTTTATCATCTGCTTAATTTCACAAATAAAGTGGGGGATTTCCAAGTCTTCCCTGAAAGATAGTCTCAACAACATTAAACTATGTACCAGGGAATTCAGGGAACTTATGATCCATGAAAGCAAAAGCAGAAGTCCACAGAATTGGGGGGTTCATGATGACCATGTACTGCAGGGGTTGACAGATGGCCACATACCGGTCATAGGCCATCACAGTTAGAAGACAATTGTCCCATCCTCCAAACATTGTGACAAAATACATCTGGATGATGCAGCCTGTATAGGTGATGGCTTTGCTGTGAGTCTGGATGTTCACTAGCATCTTTGGGATGATAGTGGAGGTGAAACAGATGTCTACCAAGGACAGGTTGGAGAGGAAGAAGTACATGGGGGTGTGGAGGTGGGAGTCTGAGCTGACGGCCAGGATGATGAGCAGGTTTCCCAGCACAGTGGTCAGGTACATGCAGAGGAACAGGCCAAATAGGACAGGCTGCAGTTCTGGTTCCTCTGATAGTCCCAGTAGAAAAAATTCTGAAGTTGAGGTATCATTGCCTTGAACCATGGGGTGGTGGTCACTACTAGGACAAAAAATTACATTAATAGGCATAACTAAAAAATTGTAGATGCTACAATTACAATGCTAAGTGGCAAAAAGCATGCACAAAAGACTGGATCTGGGATTAATTTATGAAGAATTCAGGGAGACCTAGACCCAGATTTCATTACAACAGGGATCTCAAAGGAGATAAAGCAGAAAACACTACTTTATTTGCAAAGAGTATGCCCTGAAGGAAAACAACCAGTGCAAAGACCCATCGGTGACACTTGTTCCAGACATTCAAGACTAAAAATTGAGTCACGTGGTGAGGTGAATGAGCAAGAGGAGAGCAATGAGAGATGATCAGAGAATGAGGGAAACAAGGTAATGTTTCTGCTTCTACTGAAACTTCAAGTAACAGGAAATCTCTTGTCCACAGTTTAGCTTTGCACTTTATTTATTTTGATTCCATGTAATATTGTGAACATAAATGATTTCCCCCTTCTTATTTTCATGTGTTGATGTCATCCTACATCTCAATTTTAAGGGTCACATTTTGGAGTATATTTTCTCACGTGCCCCTGCTCCACTACCTCTGAAGCTCTCAAACTCACCTGGATGAGGCTCTAAGCAGGTCTCTGTGTACAAGTCTGAACTGGTGCATGGATGGCTGATGATGGAGACTGAAGGTCTGTCTCCAGACAAGAGAGCAGGAAAGAGTGAAGCATTGGTCCCCAACCAGACTTGGGTCTCCAAAAGCAACAACCCTATTCTGGCCAGTCTAAGGTTGTACATGCAGCAGAGGTGATATTTTCAGCAGCCTATATCTGCTCATTAGGTACTCTCTTCATTGTTACTCCCACTTCTGAGTACATCATGTCCCTCAGGACACTGATGTGGACAGAAGGGAAATTTTCTTGCCGAGTCTGGGTCCCTGTAGACCATATTAGAAGTCAGGTGAATCCAGCTTTCATTATTGCTTTTCCATGAACTCACCTGCCTTCCAGATGTCTTACCTCCCTGCACCTCATCCCAATCTTGTGTCATCGTTTTCTTCAAATCTAAGACTGAGGTCCCTGCCCTGACTAGATCTCATGGACTCCTAGAGTACTGACAGGTGGTGAGCAGCAGCTCCTCCTGTCTCTAGAAATTGCTGTTTCTCTCTTGAACAAGTAGGACTGGTGTGTTTCTTTGCTATAAAAGCACCTTACTCTGATCCTTCACCACATGATGCTTTTAACAAGTCAGTTGGCAGGTTCATGCTTGTAACACAAATTAAGAGCTGGCATTTAGTGCTTCATGTAAAAATATTTGTAAAAAGGTACAGGGAATAAGAAGCATAAATGGTAAATGAAAAATAGAAATGGGGGGTTAAGAATAGTATGGAAAATGAGAAGCCAATGAATCTATATGTATAACCCATGGACACAAACTAAGTAAAATGGGGGAGATGTTGGTGGGAAAGGGCTACACAGCAGAGGGGAATAGAGCAGAAAAAGAATGGGACAACTGTAATAGCATAATCAATAAAATATATTTTAAGAAAGCATTTGCAGACTTAGACAATAACAAAAACATTAGTAAATATATAGACCATCTGAATAACACTATCCACTACCTTGAACTAATATTTCTAAAATACTCTCTAACCAACAACAGCAGAACACATACTTTCAAAAATCAAGAAAGACCGCATTTTGTTTCAAAATCAAAAGAAGAAGAAAAAAAACACTATAAACTGCTACATTTCACTGCCTCTCCTAAAAAACAAAACAAAAATTTTGGGGGAAAGTAAAGCATCTCCTCTTTCCCCAGAGAGGGTGGCAGGCGATGCTTACCTCAATGACAGCTGCTCAACAAATGCTCATACAATGCAGAACAAATTGATCAATAAACTCGGTCTCCCTGCTGAGGTTGTATGAACAGCCTCAGGGGACCCCAAATTAAAGGTAATTGAGAATAGAAGTAATCAAGTATTCAATACAGTTTTTGAGAAATGCAGGATTCATTTCTATTTCTATTTATGGATTTAATTATGATTACTCAAGTACTTTATTACACTTCTTAGGTTGCTTCCTTTTTTAAACCATCTTTCCGGGTATTTCTATTACTCTGATTTTATGTCTGGATCACTGAATCTCTGAGGAACGAAAAAGTTTAGACTAAATCTTCATGGAAAGTCTATGTGCATCACACTATATTTGCATATGTGAGTTTGATTTAAATACATTAATATATACAAATTTGCAAAAATATAAAAAGTTGCATAATTATAAGATTTACTTTCATGTTTATTTATTTTTTTAATTTAATTGTTTGTTCAGTACACTTTTCTGTTTTTTACTTCCATCCCAGGCCACCCCCACAATGCTCCCCACCTCTCTCCCATTTTGACCACCCTTAGTTGCTGTCCATGTGTCCTTTATACTAGTATCTGTAAAGCCTTCTTATTTTCCTGCAAAATTCCCTTCCCTTTCCTCTCTGGTTACTGTCAATCTGTTTTCTATTTCACTGTCTTTGGTCATATTTTGCTTGCTTGTTTTTTTGTTGTTTAGGTTCCTGTTAAAGGTGAGATCATATGCTATTTGTCTTTCACTGCCTGACTTATTTCACTCAGCATAATGCTTTTTTCCAGTTCCATCCATGCTGTTGCAAAAAGTAAGAGCTCCTTCTTTCTTTCTGCTGCATAGAATTCCATTGTGTAAATGTACCATAGTTTTTTGATCCATTCATTTACTGCTTAGTTCCTGGGTTGCTTGCAAATCTTGGCTATTGTAAATTGTGCTGCTATGAACATTAGGGTGCATATGTTGTTTTGGATTGGTGTTTTAGGGTTCTTAGGATATAATCTTAGCAGTGAAATTGCTTAGTCAAAAGGCAGGTCTATTTTTAGTTTTCTGACAAAATTCCATACTGTTTTCCACAGTGGTTGTACCCGTCTGCAATCCCACCAACAGTGCATTAGGGTTCCCTTTTCTCCACAACCTCTCCAACACTTATTGTTTTTTGCTTTGTTTATGATGGCCATTCTGACCAGTGTAAAGTGGTATCTCATTGTGGTTTTAATTTGCATCTCTCTGATAGCTAATGATATTGAGCATCTTTTCCTGTGTCTCTGGATCCTCTGTATGTCCTCCTTGGAGAAATGTCTGTTCAAGTCCTTTGCCCACTTTTTAATTGGGTTGCTTGTCTTCTTAGAGTGTAGTTGTGGAAGTTCTTCATATATTTTGGAGATTAAACCCTTGTCTGAGGTATCATTGGCAAATATGTTTTCTCATAAAGTTGGTTCTCTTTTCATTTTAATACTGTTTTTTGGTCTGTGGTTACCAGCTTGGGAGAGTTGAGAGCCCCGCAGTGAGGAGCACTGACATGGATAATCATCGCTCTGGCTGGAGAATTAAGATGTACTGAAAAGCAGCCTTAAGTAGGAGAAATTTCTCAAAAAGTAAAACTCTATGGGGGATTCTCTTTTTTTTAATTAATTTTATTTAGTTATTTTTCAAGTACAGTTTTTTGTCTATTTTTCCCATCCCAGCCTCCCCCGCCCCTTGCTCCCCACCTCCCTCCCATTTCCACCCCCCCCTAGTTCTCGTCCCTGTGTCCTTCCTATTTGTTCCTCCAAATCCCTCCCCCTTTTTCCCCTTAACTTCCCTTCCTTCTCCCCTCTGGTCACTATCTATGGGGGATTCTCTTGTTACAGCCACTCAGCTTGCTCGCCACCCAGTCAGGCAGCGATCACTAGGTTGCACAGAAGTCCCTGCATTCCCCCATAGCACTGATAAGGATTCACACCCAAGCCTGTGGGACCCAAGCAGCCTGGCCCATGCGCAGGCCCACCTGCACCCCAGCCCACAGCAATTACCACCTGGCGAAAGAGCACTCTAAAGAAGACCTGGATCCCCTGCCTGGGGCACTGGGGAGAAGTGAAAGATGAGCTCTTGGGAGAGTGCTTCCAAGATTGGTTGAGTACACAAGAAAGGCCACACCAATGGCCCCTCAACCTGCTGCAGCCAGCAAGACCAGAAAAGCAGGCTTGACCAGTTTGAAACATTCAAGAGGTTTTTTTTTTTAAATTTTATTCTTTTAATTTTTATTATGGTTTATCTTTCAATACCTTTTTTCTCTCTTCTTTTCTTTCTTGTTTTATTCCTCCTTGCTTTCTTTGCAATTTTATCTCTTCTTCCTAACTTCTGCCTTTTTCTTTCTTTCTTTTTAATACCACAAGTGAGACAAAATCTTGGAACTGTGCAAGGACCAGAGTTGGACCCAAAAAGGGGGCATCCCAACAGTTGAGACAATGAGACAAATTTCATCTTGCTATTGCAGAGAAACTACAAGCTGTGTCATATTTGTATTATTATTATTTTTTCATTATTCTTACTTCTTTTATTTTAATAGTATTTTTGCACTCCTTTCTGTATAGTCTTTTAAGCTTGGCTTGTTATATTGTATCATTTGACAGGTTTCCCCTGTTCTCTATTCCATAGTATATTGCTAATTTACTATCCTTCACGTCACTTGTGTGCCTTACCACACTACTCAAAGTTCTATACCCTTTATTCATATTATCCAGATGACATAGATTCTGTCATATCAATGTTGCTCTAGTATTATTGTAAATAATAGTGGTTCCATACAATGGTAAATACTTCACATCACCCCTCCCGGATCTTAGCCCACTTCACAGTTTCCTGAACTCTATTACTGTAGTGGTTAACTCTATTCTCTCACACACTACACTTATTTACTATCCTTTACTCCCACTTTACCCCAGAATCTGACTTCCCACAACCTCACTGCTTCCTAATTCCAACCCACAATCCTTCCCTCCCCAATGAGAATCTTACCTTCTTTCCATACTTTCTTAAAAGTGGCTAGTTGGGTTGAAGATTACAGTTAACACTATGCATAGCCAAAGAATCTTA